TGGATCCCCGAGAAGCTCTACTCCGGTTATACAGCCAGTCATCAGCGGCCGCTGCCGCAAATCGAGGAGGCATTGAAGCGTTGCTAAGTGCGCAACAAGCGGCTGCAGCTGCAGCTGCTGCACAGCAGCAACAACAACAACAACAGCAACAACAACAACGATTGCCGCCTGGATTTGGTGCTGGAGGACTTCCACCGGGCTTAGCTGGTTTGGCCGCAGCCCAACATGCATCCCTCGGTGCTGCACCGACGTCGCAGTCTTCGCTATTCAACCCGGCTCTGCTTGGATTACAAGGGCTTGGTGCCGGTACTCCTTACGGGAAGCCCTTCCCTGCTGGATTGCAACAGTTGAGTCAGATGAAACGTGATGGAACCGATGTCATCCCGAATGGTCGGTAGTGGAAGTTATGTATTTGTGATGATTGATTAAGCAGCGATCTTTAGCGATGCGATGTGGCATAGCTAGCTGAGTTGTAGGTTCCTAAGCCACTAAAGTAGTAACGTTTTGCCACGAATTCAATGCATTCTCATGACATAGCATTTTTAGCTCGTAGAGCGCAGTTTTTTCGGAGGTAGTGAACCTTAAAAGTGCATCTAAGAATTGCAACTATCTATTCCTCATAAATCGCTACTTAATCATTCGTCTCTACCCCTTTCACTCTACTCACTCGTTCAAATTCAAAAAAAATCAAGTCCAATTCTACTCATCCGTCCTTCTCCTCCTATGCCCTGCGGGTTGTCACGGGTTCTTTGCAATCTTCCTCCGTTCATCCTCGCCGTCATCCTGTCCTTTCCCCCAATCCTCTCACGATGTTCATCTCCAATTGGGCAAATTCAGTTTATATGTTTGTTTGTTTATCTCCATGTTTTTTTTTTCACACTGTCAAATTTGTTCGAATGGGTCTATTGTAGGGGTCCGCATCTATTATCTTTGATTTTTCATACTGTAACCACTCCCCCCACATGTGGCACGTCCATGATTTCTTTCTTATGATTGAGCTCCACCGCTTTTGTGTCATTTTGATGTTTTTCCCCACTAAAATTATCGTGTACTCTAATGTACTACTTTTTTCCCCTTTTCTATCCCTTCTCCACT